GCGGTGCGCCGAGGGGTGGACGCGGCGGCTTCAGCGGCGGTCGTGGCGGCAGCGGCTTTGGTGGTCGCGGCGGCGGCGGCGGCGGCGGCTTTGGCGGTCGCGGCGGCGCGCCGAGGGGCGGCGGCAGGGGACGCGGCGGCTTCAGCAGGGGAGGAGGATACTAAGGCTTTGATGACTGACGGGCGGCGACTGCTCTTTTTTTCCGAGGGCCACGACGTCTGTGGGAGGGGGGAGGGGGGAGGGACAAGGAATCTCCCCGTCTTCCTGTTGGCTGCTACAGCGGCGTGAAACCTCCCCGGCCCGCAAAGGAGAGGGAGCGAGGTTCCTTCTCTCTCCCGTGTGTGTTGTGTTCTGGAGTAGGAAAACTATTGGCGTTTTCGGGTTGTTTTTCTTGTTCTTTCCAATGTCAGATATCAAAGGGGGCCGGGTCCGAAAGGGGGGGGGCTGTGTATGCACCATGACTATCGAACTCGATTTCACCTTGCCTTGTCGGTACGCTCCTCTCTGCCTTGATGCACGCCTCCCTCCGTATGTGAGTGCCTGGCCTTCCCACAAGGACCAGGCCAATGACAGCCGAAGGGGGAGGCGGGCGATGGAAGAGTCTGGTGGGCCTTCTTCTGACGCAAACGGCACAGCTTCTGCACCCAGATTTACAAATGACGTTGTTTCACGACCGGCACTTCGCTGTACATAGAGCAAACATGTTGAGCATGGCATGAACGAAAGACTGAAGAAGACTAAACAAAAAACGAAGCTGCAAAAAGCCAAAACACCATCCGCCAGCGCAGGCACCGCAGTGACATCCGCGCATCTCGTGACCAGAACCAACGAATAAGTTGCCCCTGCCCTGCGATCCTGAGCAGTATGGTCATAACCCCCCTCCCATCTCAAGCTCCTGGTCCTTTCCGTTTCCATTTCCGCCGTGTCCGTCCCAGTCGCCCCATTCTTTATTTGCACCCACCAAGAGAAAAAAGCCAAGGAGAGAAAGAGAAGCGTGTGTCAGTATAAATTCCCATCAACGCAAAGAAAACCATGCGCATGTTCTAGCTGTGTGCGCGCCAACTTGCAAACGGACAAGAAAACTAGGCGAGGCGCTTGTCGAACGACTCGGTGGTAGGGGTCGCCTTGGGATATTCGCCTGGGACGTGAAGATTGGAAATGGTGGGCACGCTGTCGGTCCGCATGTTGGTCGACGTGGGTCGCACGGGCTGGGGCTGAGCGAGGGTGTAGTTGGCGTTGGCCTGCGTCGGGCTCGTCAGAGACCCGTCGGTGGCATTGTTCTCGGGTTGCTGCTGGAACTGTCCGTTCCAGTCGTTTCGGTGGCCGGCAGCCACAAAGACGGGCTTGCCGCTCACGTCGCGAGTGTCATGGACGTTGGCCGCCTGGTACGCAGGCTGGTGAGCAACCTGCGAGGACACAGGCTGGACGCCATCAATGTGCTGGCCGTCGCTGTGTCCGTTCATCCACTGGCCGTACTGGCCGTTGCCGCCAGGGGTCTCCAGCGAGCGATCTTGAGATTCTGAAGTGTGGTGCTGCACGTCGCCGCCTACGACAAGGGGTGCGATGACGCCGGGGTTTTGATTCGTCTGGCTTGACTGCGTCTGGGAGCGCTGAGACCGCTGGGAGCGCTGGCTCGACGAACGCTGAACGCCAGCGACGGGGACGACGTAGTTTTGCGTCTGGGACTGGTTGAAGTACTGGTTGTTGTCATAGTCGGGCACCATCTGCGAGTCTCGGGCCGGTTCGTTGGTGTAAGGGTTGATACCATCCTCGCGGGCCTGTTGGCTAACGATCGTGGCATGCGAGGGCGCGTCGTCCATGAGAGCACGATCAGTGTTTCCGTACCCCTGGTGAGACTCCCGCGAGTCGTTCTTGTCGCCGAGAGCGCCAACACCCACAGGCAGCACGCCGGCCGCGGCAACCTGGTCTTGACCCGGACCTTGGTTCTCAAATCCTGAACTCATACTAGACGGCGAGAGAGGAGCCTGTAAGCCTCGCTGCGCATTGACTTGTATATCGGATGGAAACCGCCCACCTGGTTGAGGACGGCGGATGTCTGTTTTCGAGCCCGTTTCCGCCGCGACTACTGTGTCGGCCGAGAACGGCTCGTCATCTTCCTCGTCGACGACGCCGTCGCTGCTGACCGATCGTCGCGAGGACTGGCTGAGGCTGCGGGTGTGGCGAACAAAGTCGCTTCGCTCTTGCGGCGTCTTTTCGGTGAGCGCCTTGACATCTTCGTACCATGCCATCATGGTGTCGTGGGTTTCGGCGCGGAAGACCCAGGTGTGGCCGCGGTGCATCGAGCCGGCCTGGCGACCCTTGAGGATGAACTTGTTGGACGAGCCTCCTTCGCTGGAGTGGGAACCTAGTTTCTGTTCTGGGAGGTACAATGACATGACGGGCGCTTGCGCCTTATCCGCTGATTTGAACTCGTGGAGATGAGTCGGAGAAAGTACATACCTGGTGAAAGTTAGTGGGCGGAGCCGGGAGAATGACACGCGGGAATGGCACTCACCAGCCAGCTGTATAGCTCTTCAAGTACTTGCTCTTGCGCTCCAAAAGGCCTGCGCGGATCTCCTGGCAGGTGAGGTGATCTTGACCAGGATAGTGGATCTGGTGGGCAGACCGCACCGGAATCTCGGGGTCGACAAAGTGGTCGTCCTTCTGGACAAAGTGAGTCCACTCGGTGTCCTTGGGCATGGCAATGGGGCCGATGCGGAGCTCGTCAATGGCGTTGTACGCGGCGTCAGACTCGCGCTTGAGAATGCCAGCATAGGCGTTGTAGGCCTTTTGGATCTCGCCGACGACGATGGACTCGAGCTCCCGGCCGGATGCCTCCAGGTTCAGGTACGCCTGGTGCAGGTAGTTCTCCTCATCGATCTGGCGCTCCACCTGCCGGTCGACCGCGAGACGCAGGAGGTAGGGGTCCTGCTTGCCGGTCGCGGAGGCAGGATCCGCGTCGCTCTGGCCAATGGTCTCTTGCAGAGACTTGACCAGTTTGCGCGTGGCGTCCATCTCCTTCTCAACTGAGTTCTTGAAGTCGCCCGACAAGCTCTTGATCTCCTTGATCTTCTGGTGCAAGTCACTGCGGAGACCTGTCAGGGCCAGGATGACGTCCTCCTCGATCTCTTTGGCCTTGTTCGCCTCGACGATGGAGTTCTTGTGGTAGACGCGCAGGATTTCCATGGCATCCACGAGACCGCCTGAGGCTAGGAAGCCGGGAGGGGTAGAGATGTTGTTGGCGACATTGGCGAGCTTGACAAGGGACTTGGCCTTGGTCTCATAGTGGCTTTGGATCTCGCGATAATAGGCAATCAGATCCTTGAGCACCTTGCGCCATGCTGTGCCACTGTCAGTCAAGGCGAAACGCTGAGGGGCTGCGTGCCGGGCTACGCGTTCTGCCACGGCGCGTGCTTTGGCTTTTCACTTACACTGGAACCTGTTGGCCAGGACTTCGGTCGGGTTGCCGGTGGTAGGGACGGGACAGTGGAAAGCGCTGTGCGCCTCGTCTGGGTCCGAGGTCGATTGCAGGGCCAGGCTGCGCACGCTGCCGGCGTTCATGCTGCGCCGGCTGCCGCTGCGCTTCAGACTGGCATTTCTGCGCAGCGAGCTCTTCTTCTTCAGAGTGTTCCCACGGCTGGGAAGGCTGAGGTGGTCCTCGCCGCTGTTGGACGCGTACGAGTTGGAGCGCTGCATGTTGTTGGCAGTGTGGCCGTCAATAATGCTGCTGCCGCGCTGGCTGGCGTCCCATTCCTCGGTGAAGCGGCCGTGATTTGATGATGGCACAGCCAAGGAGCTGGCGGCTTGCTGTGAGTATATGGGATGCGATGTGTGAGCGTTGGCGAGGGTGTTTTGACGGAGATGGGCAGAGTATGGATCGTGGCCGTGGCCGTTGGCTGGTGCGTCAAAGGCGTCGAAATGCAGGGCAGCAGGAGTGCGCGCCGTATGCGAAGGTGGAGGGGGATATGCAAGGTTTTGAGTAGGATCTGGGTTTGGGTTCGGGTAGCCAGCACTGGTGGTGGTGGTGGCATGGGAGGAGGCCATGGCGACGGGCGTAGGGACTGGACTGCACTAGTTTAAAAAGTCAGGTTGAGACGAGACAAGACACCAGAGCTGTCGGTCGCAGGGTGTATTGGGAAATTCTGACGCAACCCACGGCCAAGGTAATGACGATGACGACGGAAGGTCGGCTAGAGGGGGGTGGGTTGCTGGCTCGCTGTTCCCGTCCGCCGCAAAGGTAAGGGGGGGGAATGGTTGAATGGGGTTGGACGAGGTACCGACCTACCCTTCAGGGAGGCCAAGGCCAGCAGCTGGTCAGTGAGTCGAGACAGGCCAGAGCTGTACTGGTAAGGTAAGGTAGGACAGGAGGGCGCTGAAGGGGGTGATCAGACCAATGCGGTCATAGGCTGGCAATGGGCAGCGAGGTGAGGCTAGTGTGGTGTCGATGTTCCAGATGGTAGCCCAATGCGGAGACGTCTGGTTGGGTAATTGGGTAACGCAGCTGTGAAGCCCGAGTCGAGGTTGGTGCTAGCTGGGTGTGGATTCGCTAGCTGCTGGGCGGCGCTCGGCGCGAGAATGGTGGAATGAGGGGGATGCCGAAGGGAGAATCGGGATGGACGGGTCAGGAATTGAGGCTATCGTCGACTCAGTAGTTTTGTCGGTTTCTGGTGATGGAAGAGGGTGGGTGGAGGAGGTTAGGTTTGTTTAAAAAGAAGGCAGAGTCAAGCTGCGGAGGCATGTACGCATATAGCCAAGCCGTTTAGATGAGCGGGAACGGGAAGACAGCAACAGCAGGCAAAGCAGGCAGGCAGGCAACAAACAGGCCCACGGCTGGAGATGACAAGGTCAATGGAACCCTGCGCACATCATCGTTGGAGGGGGGGGTCCCTTGGGCAACCTGACGGCCAGGGACGCGCAAGTGGGCACAGGCGACGGCGCGCTCCCCTGTCTTAGGTACCTAGGTAGGTCCCTGCCCCAGATTTCGTAGGGCCTCGGGGGACAGGTCCAGGGCGCAGCACAGCAAGAGCACACCACGGCGCAGAGCTTGGAGTAGCCACCTTCGTACCGACGGGAGCAAACCATCTAACATGGCCGAACGTGCAGGCAGCTTCACAACAGAAATAGCTCAACCAAAGGGAAGAAAAAAGACCAAAGTGAAGAAAAAAAGAAACAACGCGTGCCGCTCCACCATCCGGCGAATGCAGCCATTGCTGCATGCTCTGCCCAGGTGCCACGCCTCTGGAAAGGTCCCCGCCAACTTCTGGTATGACGTAGCCAGCCCGTCGACCACGCCGTACACCTCGGTCGTGCGAGCCACTCGCCATGGGTGACAAGACGTTCCATTGCTACCACACTGCCGATTCTCCCTCTATCCGGCATCGACGCGACCCGAACTTTCCGTCGAGCAGCTTCAGCTTCGTCTTGTTCCCTACCCTGTTGCAGCATGCATCATCATCCAGCAGAGAACCTCGCCCCACAGGATTTCGCGGCCTGCTAGCGCTATCCGTGAACCTGGCAGCGCCGACGCTGCCACTCGGGAACACCGAACTGCCGTCGAAAATCGTGAGCACATCGACATGACCCTTGCCCCGAGCCGACAATCACTATCCTAATCAGCTTTGCACGATACCAATGCCACCACATAGAGGGAAACAAAAACCTGGCGCACAGGCAACTCGGACTCGGCAGCTACAGGGGAGGCGAGCAGACTAACTAGCACGGCAGACAGATCTCCCGTTCCACTTGGCGCCCTCCTCCAGCAGATCTACTGCTTCCCTTCTTCCCCACGGCCTCGTTACCCCTCCGAATCCCCCCTGGAGCAGACAGGTCTGACCTTTGGTCGGGCCGCCGCCGGTGTGTCTCTTGTGATTGCGATACGCGTCTCACGCACCACGTACTGCCCGAGTACGTGGCGCGGCGCCGTAACCCCGCCCGCCCGCCCGCCATGTCACATGCACGCCTGCGCATCCCGCGAGCGACATGCTTTTTGTAGCCAACTGTAGCTTCCGGGCGGCCTCCTGGTCCGAGTCGCTCTGCTCGCTCGCCTGGAGGCCACAGTAGCACGAGTCCATCGCAATGTCCCGAGCGTTAGCCTGGGGGGAAGGGGCTTCTTGTTCCAAGGAACCGAAATCGCTCATCCTCATCCTGGCAGTGTGCCCTGATGATCGATGCCCCGTTGCTTCAGGTCTTTGCGGGTCTGGAGGGGGTTCTGTGTTCGATGACGAGGGGACCAGCTACTAAGTACGCGTGTTGCAGGGTAGCACGAGTACCACGGGAGATGCCGTAACTTTTTTCGCTTGCCGGCCGGCGGTCAAAATGCAGTGCAATCCCATGATACGTCTAGTCAGAAGCCTAAATCGATCCCGTGAGAGTCGGCTTATAGCTGCGGTTTGCCCTTGTGTGGCCAGAACGTATGGAAGAAGGCAGCGAGAAGTGAGCCGCACCCCCTGACGCGCCACTCTACTAGTTATAGCCACTGTTATGCCTATGCCGGTGAGGCTCTGCACCTCGTCGCCCGTACAAAATACATGGTCGTATGCTGCAGTTGGGCAGGGAGGTGTGAGTGTTTTGCGGCCACATTTCGTCCGTTCTAGACAGTCAATTGATACATCGTTATGGAGTGAGGGTGCAAGTAGATCGTTTGGTGTATGAATCATGATATGGTTTTTGGCCAGTTCTTCAGAGTATGGACCTACACGAGTTAACAATATCAATTAATACCAATGAGCACATGGTCACTCATCTGTACATGGTTGTAGACATAACTCTTATAAACATGAAGCTCCTTCTTGAAGCAGGGGAAAAGAAGAAACAAACACTATCCATCTTCCACACGTTGCAGTCGACATCTGCTAGGATACACCCAAAGTCATAGCACGATGGTGTCTTCACAGAGCGTACCTGTGTGTTCCTATGCCATGTCGGCTTTGCTGGATATCTTGCTAGATGCCAAAACTCACAGCACAGTGATGTGTCGAAGGAGCGTACAGGCAAAATGCGCCAGCCAAAGACCAGGGCAAGCCGCAAGCCAAGCTCAGTAAAGCTCGTGCCAAAATCCATTCGCCGACTCGATAGCAAAACATCTACCACCCCCAAATCTTTTCAACATTCTCAAGATACCCTACCATTCGACAAGGGGTAAGCCGGCACACATCAGCAAACAACGCCAGGGCGCGCGGCAGATTGATAATATAATCATGCTCCCATTGGTATCTGCCGTTTTCGTCAACTGTGTAGAAACAGGGGGACGCGGACATGGTCCCCCAACGCCTCGCTATGCGCCAATGACTTCCACGACCCAAGCGCCGTGCCATCAAAAGACCAAAAAAAAAGAGCAAATTCCCACTTCTCGGCATTGATTTCTCTGCCCCTGTCATTCCCTGAGAGAACGATCCCTCGTATTGCAGTCCCCATTCTCCCCTCTTCTCGCAGGTCACACGTCCGAAGCAGGCCCGCCATCCGGCGGCGTCTCTACGATCCTCAGCTTGGCATGGCGTCTCGGCGGCGGCGCCTTGGGCGGCGTCTTCTTGCCGGTGACGATGCCCGCGAACGGCAAGCCGTGCCTGTGCCGCGGCACCTCGGGCCGTATCCTCTTGGCCGCCGCCGTGCCCGCCGCCGCCGCCGCCGCCTCGCCGCCAGCCTCGGCCCGGCGACTCGGCGTCTGCACGCCCGGCTTCTCCATGACGGCCGCGACGTCGACGACGCTGATGCTGCTGGCAGTCTGCGACGGCGAGAGGCTGATGCCGAGGAACTTGCGCGCCACCTCTGCCTCGCCGGACGCCGCTGCGGCAGCGTCTTCGTCCGGCGCGGCGAGCCACTTGACTTTGGACACGCGCTCGACGAGGCGCACAGTCGTCTCGTCGGCGGGGGCAAAGTGCGAGTTGCCAAAGCCGCCGAGGATGCGCAGGACCTTGTGGACCTCGTCGCGCTTGTAGTGCGGCGGGTGGCTCAGCTGCGTGTGGGCGAGCAGCGGGTAGAGGACGCGCAGGTACGTGTGGCGCAACGAGGCCTTCTCGTCCGGGAGGTCCATGAGGTTGCGGATGATGACGTCGAGGAGGACCTTGAGGTCGTTGGTATAGAAGTACTCGTGCGTCGCTTTCGTCGTGAAGAGGAGGTACAGCAGCTTGAGAATGAGGAGCTGCTGGCTCGTTTCCGTCTCGCGGTTCAGCAGCAGGATGATGTTCTCGCCAAAGGTCCGAAAGCTGTCGCCATGGAGGCTCAGACACTTGATGACTCTGTTCGTCAGAGGGGCCGAGGGCGCGAGAGGGTCGGTGCCGATGTTGGTCGAGGAGAGCATGTACTGTTCGTTGAGCACGAGCTGCGAGGGTCAGCTGGGATCGTGGGAAAAATATGATGCGAGGAAAGGCAGCATATCGGGGGCATGGAGAGGCATATAGACAGGCCGGAAGGGGACATACGAGGACGCGAATGATCGGATAGTGGTACGGGTCGTGAACATCGTTGGACAGCTCCTCGATGATCTGAAACAGATAGTTGATGAACCCGTCATCAATCTGCAAGAGATCCTCGGTGCGCAGGCGCTCGATGCGCGACATCTCGTACATGAGCTCCAGCAAGAGGCGATGCAGCCTGGGATCGCGGTCCTTGCGGCCGTTGATGAGCTCGAGCAGGCGCGGGAAGCAGGCCTCCTCGACCATACGCGTAAAGGTGGCCTCGTCGGCGCGGCCGTCGAGCAGCAGAAAGCAGGTGATGAGGTAGAGGCTGTTGGGCTCGTCCTCCTGCAGCAGGCTGAAGATGATCTGGGTGCGCACGTAGTCCCTGTTGTCGACGAAGAGCTGGCTCGCGAGCAGCTTCTGGGCGCAGGCGGCAATGTCGTCCTCGGCGTCGCAAAACTTGTCGCGGAACATGGAGGCGAGGTAGAGCCAGGAGCGCAGCGTCTCGTCTATCAGGTCGTGGGACTGGTATTGGGTGCCGACCACATCGTCGAGTTCTGTCGACGTCGGTCAGTCGGCGGACGCAACACTCCTGGCGCAGAGAAGGGCAAAGAGGAAGCAGAGAGGGAACACGACAGAGACGCACCTTCGAAGAATTCCTGCTCCGTCTCGAGGGATTGGTACACATCGTAGTCAGCCATGGTTGCCCGCAACTGAAGAAGAACAATGACCAGCGGTATATGGTGTGTATCTCTCACATCACTGTCGTCGGGCCGCGGGGTATGAAGTGAACAGGTGTGGTCTCTCGGAGGGCTGGTTTGTTGGAACAGTAGTAGCAGCAGCAGTAGAAGCAGCAGCAGCAGCAGGCATTGGGAGAAGGCGAGAGAGGCTGGAGTGGCGGGCAGCGGAGCGGGGTGGGGTGGATCCAACGCCTGGACGCTACCAACCTTACGTCAAAGCTACAGGGAAGGCTGTAGAGACTCTCTCGGCGGCGTTTCCAGCGATGTCCCCCCGGATACGGTAACACCGTTCCCGACAGGCCCATACCGATGGCGTCCTTCCGACAGCCAGCTGCATCGACCAAGACGCCGACAAGACGGCCGGCTCGCGATCATTTCGACTCAGTGCACAATAAGTTCATCCGTCTGACTCGTATCTATCATCTATGGGAATCATCGCAAACGCACGTCATGCAGTACACCAACCGTCATCGTCATACTCCCCTCCCCGTTGGCCCCGACATGGCTGCCACCCGCCAAACGCCCAGAAGCAGAAACAAGAAGCACAACACCGCCAGCGCAGCTCGTCGAGCCTCGCCACAAAAAGAAAAAAATATACGCTCGCCTAATCACGCTCTTCGCCTTCCTCGTACACCTTGACCTGGTCGGCATACTTGTGGATGTCGCTGACAACGTAATCGGTAATGGTGTGGCCCTTGCCGGCGGCGACCCGCAGAATGAGCTCGTTGAGGTTCTGGCGGCCGAGAATGTCGACGTGGTCCGCCGTTTTGGGCCCGCCCCTGGGACTGAAGCGGTCGGGCTCGTGCGGCATCTCGACGACGGTGATCTTGGCGCCCGCCGGGTTGTACCGCTTGAGGCCCCAGCCGCGATTGCACATGTACCCCGTGCTGAGCAGGTTGACCGTTCCGTCGCCCTCGCCCATGACGACGCCGTGGTCGACCTCGCCCTCGATCAGCGCCGTGTCAATGGTGATGTTGAGGTTCGTCATCGACGGCATCTCCGGCGACCTGTAGTAGTAGCCGCGCTCCGTGGGCTTGCCCACGCCGTAGAAGCAGTAGATTTTGAGGTTGGGCGCCAGCGGCAGCCTCGTCTCGAGCGGGTTGATCCACTTTCGGGGGTCCTTCTCGTTCGCCTCGACTTCGGCCTCCGTGTGGGCCACGCCGTGAGAGTAGCTCTCCCTGACGAGGTCCTGGTACCACGTCTCTGTCGTGTTCCAGAGGTACTGCAGCGAATCGTCGACCGTCAGGTTCTTCTCCGGTGTCGTCCAGTTCAGGCCCTCCCTGAAGTTGAGCACCGTACCAAACGTGTGGTTCTGCCCCGGCAGGTCGTCAGGCGCCCACGTACCGTTGCCCCAGACGGCGTTGCCGCCGAGCGGAAGCATCGATGAGATGCCAGGCATCGCTCGGAAAAGCTCGGCCCTCTCGTCCTTGCTGAGGAACTTCTCGAGACCGTAGACGGCAAAGGCGTTGAGCTGCGCCGTGTCTCGCATCTCACCCGACAGCACGGCCGTCAGGTCCTTGACGGCACCTAGCATGCACCCGCTGACGTTGATCCAGGACTCGACGTAGCGGTCGACCCAGTCGTCGCCGCCACGGCCGCCCAGGTCAGAGGCCACCCAGTGAAAGAAGTAGAAGACAACCTGCCCGCCCATGCTGTGCGACACGAGGACGGCTTTCTTGCCGCCGGATGCTTCAAAGGCCGTCTCAATGTGGTTCTTGAGGCGCGTGAAGTACTGGTCTCGGATCTCGAGGTGAGGGTATGCCAGCCGCCAGTCGTACGCAGCAGTGAACGAGTTGGACGGGTCGTAGCCGATCGAGGCAAGGTTTTCAAAAATCTTGTTCCAGATCCAGTAGCCCGTGATGAAGAAGTCGGTCGCATCGAACCCCTGCGCCGCCCGTAGCTTGATGTTCGGGGGATCGAGACCCGTCTGCTTGTCGAGCATGATGTGCCTCTTCCAGTTGTCCTTGTCCATGACGAGAGCGCGCATCATGCTCCAGCTGCCCCAGAGACGCTTGCGAAAGTATGGCCGGGAGACATTGGCGGTGCCCCAGGACTCGAGTCCCGTCGAGATGACGCCGGGCACCATGATCATGGGATGGTGGGCTGAGAGGCCTTCGGACCGCGCCTGTAGGCCGACGGCAAAGGCATCGTAGCTGTCGACGAAATCGCGTTCTCCTTTCTGTCGGCCGTATCGTCAACACGAGGGCACTCTTTGACTTGCCGTGTCGAAAAATGCGGTGTATCGAAGAGTGAGGGACAAAGGCAAACATACCACGAGGTCGCGCATATCGGCGACGAGGCCGGCGGGCAGGGCATCGAAAAGGCTGTCGACGCTGAACTCGCCGAGCTCAGGAAAGTCGATGAGGTCGTTGCTCTTCGCGAAGAAGCCGGCGGCGACGAGGCCGAAGAGACTGCCGAGGAGGAAAATGGCGGTGGAGCGTCGTTTCCTCGTCTTCGGTTTGTCGATATGCTCGACGATATGGACGTGTTCAACGGTCGTGTGGTTGTCCTCTTGACCAGCGGCCGGCGGTGTGGGTGGTGCCTCGCTTTCGGATGGATTGCTGAGGGCACTGTCGGAGGGTTGACTCGGCGGCATGCGCCGCCTGAGTTCCGAGGGTTGGGGCTGTCGCGGCATGGCGGCGCCGGGTGTCGTTCCTGGGACAGCCGGGTGTGTAAATGGCGCTGAGGCTGCCGGCTTGGAGTTGAAGAAAGTCTCGTGAGCCGCAGCTGGGACCTGTCGGAGACGGCGGGATACCTTGGATGGCCCATGCACGTGGTATCACATGGAACGGGAAAAAATCGAGGCGCGCGCTAGCTGCTGCCGGTACTTCTGGCTACGATGGCCCAGAGTACAGAGCTCCCGGGCAGTGGATTCCCTGTCGCGAGATGCTGCAAGGTATTGCTCGAGGTCCCCCTGTTGCACCTGGGGTCTGTGTTGTGGTGTTCCTCCTCGTGGCGGAGGGGACTCGACCGTCACTCTTGGAAAAGGAGCTGTCACGCTTCAAAGACAGTGACGTCAACATGGTGGCGGCCGAGAGCTACACCTCCGAGCTGTCAACAGACATCGATCGGATATATTCGTCCGAGTTCTGCATGGTTGGTGTTTGTCTTGTCTTCTATCCTGTGCAGCCGATGCTACTTAGGTGATCCTTAGGTACCGTACGGAGATGTGCCTTGGTGTCCATGACCAGGCGCTTTGCAGATCTCGCAAGCGGCGTCGAGCTTCACTGCTGGTGCTGTCAAGTCGAGGTGGAACTGAGCCAACCCCACTCTGCCCTCTCTAGGGGGCCCCTGGGCCGCTGCCAGGGAGTGGAGGGGCTTTCGCGTAGCTGTAATTCAGTCCAACCTCACCCGTCATGTTCCGTCAGCCGCGCAGCCTCAACCCTCGAAATACATTGACGTTGTACTATCGACTGCATGTGATCGCCCATTGAAAACGCAAACAGGGCTTTATCTCCCTCCTTTTGGTTGGCGCAACACATCTGCATAGTCGCCTCCGAAGACCCACGTTCGCATTGGATCCAGGACAGCAACGTAGGGCCAGCACCGGCCGGACCTTCTTTCCAACTCGGGCAGTCGGCTGCAACTCATTTAGAAGCCCCCGCCTTGGACCCTGGATGTGGTTTTCTGAACGCCATTCCTACCGTCGACCTCAACCTCCTTCTGTGCACATCCCGTCCTGGCTGGGTCATTGCGTAGACGACCGGGTGATCTGGTCTCCAAGGCGCCAAGCCCACACACCACGCCCATCCATCACGAAACCCTCCGCCCGGTGCGACGATGGCGGGGCTCACAGATGAGCTCAACTACATTCAGTATGACCACAGCCTCGAGAGCAAATACCTCCCCGCCATACGCTCTCTCATCGCCAAAGACCTGAGCGAGCCCTACAGCATATATGTCTATCGCTACTTTCTGTGCCAGTGGGGCCACTTGTGTTTTATGGTACGTCACGCCACCTTGGACAAGACCGCGGCGGGCAGTTGACTGACAACTCTCGCAGGTCCTCGACCCCTCTGACGCGTCCCTTGTCGGTGTCATTATCTGCAAGCTCGAGGTGCACTCGTCCCACTCTCCTCCCACACGCCGCGGCTACATCGCCATGCTCGCCGTAGCGTCAAGTCATCGCGGAAAAGGCATAGCCACGGCCCTCGTCAAGAAGGCCATCGACGCCATGGCCACGAGGAGCGCAGATGAGATTGTGCTCGAGACGGAAGAGACCAACATACCCGCGGTGCGCCTCTACGAGCGTCTCGGCTTTCTGCGCTCCAAGAAGCTTCACCGCTACTATCTAAACGGCAACAGCGCCTACCGCCTCGTTTTACTTCTTAAATCTATCGATCCGGATGCACACATGGAGGAATCGGACGAATTATACTCTTGATTTTGCTTCCTTTTACATTGTTTATATCATTTGAGGTCACCAGTCTTCTGCTGGAGCGAGTTTCACGGGGTGCTGCTCTTGCGCCGGGCATGGGGTTTATGGTGTTGGGATGCATATTAGGAAGGCCTGCGGCATGGTCATCAAAAGCAAATTCTGTCTTTCATCGGCGCTCCCATTTTCCGCTTTCTCGCCGTGAAATGTCAGATTTCCACCAGCAAATGGCAGCCCTTGCAGACTCACGTGGCACAGTCGAGACTCCCGTCCCACCATGCCATCGTGCTTCTCAAATCTGCGCCGTTACCTCGTTTGAATTGTAGATTGACGCCTTGAGACCCCAGCTGTTTCCTCCTGCAATGCCAATGTAGGTAAAAGCATCTGGATTCTCGCTGTCAGCTTTCGTCGTCAGGTTTGGGGGCTCCGCCCACGAACCTGGCTTGTAGTATATCGCCTTTTTCATCGTCTCGACGACTCCCAGGTCCTGCAGCCCTCGCAGAACCCTGGTGACATCAGCCATGTCCCGAAAGTCGGCCGTGTAGACGCAGATGAGCCGCTCTTTACGGCCCGTATCGTCGGATCTCGGCGCGACCTTTGCAGCGATCCCCAGCTCATTGTTGGCAGTAGCTTTAGCAACCAGACCCCAAACTTCGTTGACCACCTCTGGATCGCAGAAGAGCATCCACTAGGGTCGAGTCAGCCTCGTGCTCAGCTCACTGATCATGCATGGAGGCGTTGTGTCCTACCTTGCCAGACCGCACACGGCAAGCATGTGCCAGCTTCAAGACATCTTCCACAGCCGCCTTCCTTTCCTTGTTGGCTTCCCTCGTCTTGACTGTCTTTGTTTTTGCCGTCAATTCCAGTCCTCCTAGAAAGCTTGTGAGGATATGCAGCCTTTCAGTGCCTCCTTCCACAGCCCTGGCCAGCTGCGTCCCCTCCTCCTCCGGCGCCTCATCCTCATTGCCCCTGCTGTTCCGGCTCTGCGCATCCGGCCTCGCCTTACGAGAGATGTAAGGATTGCAAACAAAGATCCAGGGCACCTCACCCGAGGCTTCCGTTGTCGCCGGGGGCAGGCGCGAGAGGAAGTCGTCAATCGTCTCGGTCAGCTGCCAGGCGTAGGGAACGCCGGCGTAGGGATTGTGCAGTTTGGATGCGGTTTTCAACTTCTTCCTGGCCGGCATGGGGCTGAGGTGGGCTCGGTCCTGGTGAGCCTGATGCCACTCGTGGACGTCGAAGTCGTCGACGCGAGCCTGGAGCTCGGCTACGATGTCATCGTCACCTGGCAGTGTCAGCTTCGCGGTTCCGGGATAATGTAGAGGACGCAGTGATACCGTAAAAATCCGACTCTGAGTCGTAAAGAATCTGTGGTGCCATTTAGGTTGTCGAGATCCTGAAAGTGTTCGGGGTCAGTGTCAAGCACAGTATTTGAGCACCAAGTTACGCGTTGGACGGGTTGTTTTGCAAGTGTTGATACGACAGACAAATCTCGTGGTGCGTAATACGTGCCGCTGAAAACAAATAGAGAGTATCGTGTGTAAAAGATATGCAGGTGAAGGCTATTCGACAAGTTTGTGCAGGGTGACGAGAAAGCAAGCCTTGTAGAGGAGGCAAGTGGTAGGTGGGCAGGTACTTGCCGTGGTCCCGCCACTAGATCCCTCCCCATGACACTCATGACGTTGAGCAGGGGTATTGCTTTTCAGCAAATCGACCCATGTACTTTCTATGGGCGTTTGCTTTTTGATACAACCCCTCCGTGCGGTTGTTTGTCAACTGGAACGAGTTGGGTTTGCGGCATGGCGCAGGTGCTTGTCGAATTGGGACGATACGATACTGGTGGCGGGCCGGCCCGCACATTTTAGAATCAAGGAGATGGTAGTGTCAATTCAAAGGCGAGCATGAATAAACCTCATCCTCCACAATCCCAACTCACAAGAAATCCATTTCATACAGTCCAGCACAGGCGGCTGGGGCACTCTACAGAATGAGTGACGAAGGCCAGACAATCGCTTCAACCCAAAGTATCGTGCTGGACTTGCCGCCGAGCTGTGTCGAGTTTTCCCAGACGCACCCCTCCTACTTCGTTGTCGGAACCTATAACTTGCAGAAGGACGACAAGGTGGAAACAAAGCCCGATGCCTCCGAAGACGACGAGAGTTCTTTCGAGCACGGAGAGGTGACCGCGGCAAAGAAGACGCAGAATCGCAATGGCACCCTCGTCGTGTTCAAGCTCGTGGATGCAACGATGTAAGACTCTCGCTCAAGCTCCTATCATCCTACATGTTGCTGACACCGGACAAAGGCATCATGTCCAGGTAGTCTCACAGCCATCTGCGATCCTGGACCTTCACTTCTGCCCCATCGTTGGCAAGCAAGACATTCTAGCAGTGGCATCCAGCACAGGCACGCTCGCTATTATGCGACTGGACCCAACATCTGACGAGTCCTCGCCGCTGAAGCACATCGCGACGAGCACATTCCCTGATACCCCTGACGGTGTCCTTTTCCTGTCTCTCGCCTGGCACCCGTCAGACCCCAAGGTCCTTGCTGTCACGACATCATCGAATGACGTCTGCCTTGTGCGCCTTGACGATGACTGGAAAATAATTCAGGATGACCCGTACCCTGTCCTTACCCACTCACTCGAGGCCTGGACTGTCGCGTTCACCCCGCCTACAGCTTCCGACGAGGATGGACGAACAGAGGATGACCTCACGGTGTACTCGGGAGGTGATGATTCCGCCCTTCGATACGTCGCCTTGGGCGCCACGGGACTAAGCGAAGAGAGCCGATTCGGCCTCCTATTTCCGCCCCTCAAGCTGGATGCGCATGATGCAGGCGTGACGGCCATCCTGCCGACGTCTTGCCATCTTCACGATGGGTCCAGGATCGTGCTCACGGGAAGCTACGACGACACGTTCCGCATTCTCGCGGTTCACTCGCCTCGCAAGACCTACGGAGCTCGCAAGTACAGCCGCGTAGCCGAAGAATATCTGGGAGGCGGTGTGTGGAGGCTGAAGCTGATACAAGCGCGCCAGGAGGAAGACGAATGGCACGCCACGGTCCTGGCTTCATGTATGCATGCAGGAGCGAGGGTGCTGGAGGTAAGAGGCTCTCTGGATGGTCAGAATTGGGATATCAAGGTGCTTTGTCGGTTTGAGGAGCACAAGAGCATGAACTATGGCAGTGATTTCGTGCCAGGGACTGGTGTCAGCTCACAACCACTGGTCTGCGTGTCTACAAGCTTCTACGATAAACTGCTGTGTTTGTGGAGATTTGAGACAAGCTGAGATGTTTCGTGAGGGTAGAAGATAACAACTCTGCAACAAATTCACTGTTCTGATGCGTCTTGTTGATTTTGCGTCCCTATGCTACAACCCTACCTACTGTACCTACCTACTTGAGTAGGGACTGGCCAGTGACAGATCTTATCAGGGCCCTGCCGCCTGGAGCAGTACTGTACTTTACAGTGTCCCCACTGGGCTGGGTACCTTCGGTCATGGCCGCGTCAAGGGAGGGTTTACCTCGCAGGCCCAGGCCCCGGGGCTGTCAGGCCCGGGCGTCAGGTTTCTGGCATCCATGCATGTGCGCCCACTTCCATATTCAGGTCGGGTCCGAGTGCCTTTCAATTCGTGGCTAAGGACCTTACCGTACATTACCTCACCTCCCTGGAAGCTCGGTCTGCCTGCCTGGGTCCAGATCCCTGGGGCGAATTATTTGCTTGACACTTCACGCTTCACGCTTCACCTCTCACCTGGTCTGTTCACTGCCTTCTCCCAGCTTCGATCTGATCTTCTCTACAGCTTGTTCGCAGTAGTCGCCCTTTCTGTGTGCTGCAGCTCGCGCTGCCTAACATATCTTAACCCAAAGACCCCCACCATTTTTGTTGTCTCCCGCCCCAAATCTCGACCCCTAGTCAGCTCACTGCCGTTGTTCTCCAAATCCAACAACAAACACTAGACTCATCCCCCGCCCTTCCCCTCCCTACAGCAACCCGACCCCCGAACCGCATGCGATCGATCTGATATCTTCGAGGAGGCATCATCACGTTCGACCCAGAGCTCCCGATCGAGGGTCGTCTTGCTCCGTCTATCATGGCCTCGGCGCATCCCAATGGCGCTGCCGGCATCGGCTCGTCAAACGGCGGGGAGGTCGATATCCTCTCCCAGATTCACCAGGCCCTCGAGGTCGTACACGCCCCCTACTCAGCCAACGAAGCTCGGAGGGAGGCGCAAGAGTTCCTCGAAAACGTCAAGGCCGTCGACGAAGCCCCCTTCCACGGCTACACCCTGGCCTCGAACAAGTCGCAGCCCGCCGTGGTCCGACACTATGCGCTCTCGCTTCTCGATAATGCCATCAAGCACAAGTGGGCCGACTACACCACCGAACAGGCCTCGACCCTCAGGGGGTGGATGCTGGAGCTGTGCCAGGGCATCTCGCAAGCCGATCCGTTGTACATCAGAAACAAGACGGCCCAGCTCTGGGTAGAGGTGGCAAAAAGGTCGTGGGGCACCGAGTGGATGGACATGGACGAGCTGCTGGTTCAGCTTTGGCAGGTGCCCGACTCGGCCGTACACAAGGAGCTCGTCATGACGGTTCTCGAGACGCTGGGCTACGAGACCTTCTTTGGCGATGACGTCGTGGTGGCCATGAGGCAGGGGGTCCTTTGCAAAGGTTGGACAGAAATCACCACGCCCACCGCTGTGCTGGCCGAGGCGATCAAGAACCGCAACCCAGCCCCCGAGGTGCGGTACGGTGACGAGGGTTGGCTGGTGCGGTTGGTGACTCTGCTCGAGCAATGTCTCAACGGCGACATCAACGGCAACAGCGAAGTGCGTTCCTGCGCCGTGAAGGCGCTCTCCGTCCTCAGCACGTTAATGCCGTGCACGATACCCAAGGGCACGGCGGCCTCGAAAGTCGTCCCCGTCGCCTCCAGAGCGCTTGCTGCTTCCCAAGTGTCTGTCCAAAAGGTATGGCCCCTTAGCTCTTGGTGGCCGAGCGCTGCTGCTGCCATCTTGGGGGGAGCTTTGCTAACATGTTGGTGCAGGGAGCTCTGGAGGTCTTGCATGCCCTTTATTCACGCGATGACTTTTACGATGAGGAGTTCGCAGAGCTGGTGGCGCCCATGTACGAGCAGGCGTCGGTCGGACTGCTCAAGGAGCTCTTCAACTGGTCGGTGGTCGACGCCGAAGATATCGACGACGACAAATACCAGTTCGCGAAGAAATTCTCCGAGGTTCGTGTGACAGCAGATTTCGATGGAGAATTCCGTACTGACTCTTTCAGATGCTGTCCTTACTTGGAAATTATCTTGATCGCAAATTCTCCGTCGTCCCCACGGGATCAGATATCGATGGTTTCCTGAATCTTCTCGTTGTTGTAGCGCAAAGCCAGAGCCTCATTGTGTCCATCCCTGTGCTCGTAACGTGGACCCGTCTCCTGAACAACAGGTTAATCGGGCAAAGCTCTGCCAACTCACAGCTCATTGGGCCTCTGCTTGAGCTGTGCGGTTCGAGGCTCATCAGATACGAGAACCTGCCCGAAGACACGCAAGATGCCACCTATCTGTTCCTCATGGAGGACACAGACACTATGCCCGAGAGGCATGCTTTCCTAGGCAACTACCGTCGCTACAGTATGCAAGTCATCGAGGCAATTGTCCAGCTGAAGCCGTCCGACGCCATCTCGCACATCCTAGGCCAAACCGAGCAGGTGCTGCACCATCTGTACGATGGACAGCCGAGCCTGAATGGTACGCGCCCTGCACTACTGCCTGAGTGAGAGACCTGCTAACGCCCACAGTCGCCGCATACGCGAAGCATTCCATGCCTGTTCTACGCGCCGATGCCCACTTGACCGTAATCGATGCAGCCAACAAGGGCTACATGAAGTGGAGGGCCAACCCAATCCAACGCGGCAATCCCGATTATGTGAGTGACATGATAGTGGAAGAATTATGCTTGGTGCTGATGTGGTCTAGGATCAACAACGATCGAGCCTCGAGGACGGCCTCGAATCTTGGTGTCACAGGCTTCTGGATATGAACTTCGAAGACCCAATGATTCGCAAGAGAGTACTGCAAATCCTGGTCCTCATGTCAACATCAGCACTCGATAAGAGACCTCAGTTCATGCTGAAGGTCCTAGAGCACATCCTAATGACGTGGCCGGCGCCCCAGCCGGAACACCGTGCCTTTAACGAGGCCATCAAGGACTTCCAGTCTGAAAGCATGTTCGAACTGCAGAGGCTAGCATCCAAGGTCCCCGATCATCTGCTTGCTGTTTATGATCAAGTCGAGACGCGGGTCCGTGACATGGTCACCTCGGGGACGCTCGACGAGAAGCGACAGATTGCATATCAAACATTTCTGTTCATCATCGTTCACAGGGCGAGCAACATTGACCCCCAGGTCCAGATGCAGCGATTGGAAGGCTTTATCGAGCCAATCAAGGCTCAGTGGCAGAACCCCGAGCTCAAGCAAGCCCTTTCGTCATACTCTGGCTTCTGTGAGCTGATGGCGCTAGACAAAGCGAAGGCCTATCTCAGGAATCACGGAGCTCATACTGTTAGCGACTGGGGCGCGTGCGAGCTGGATGCTGAAGGCCTTGCTCTGCAGGCGGAGCTCGAAGACAGGCAAAAGGTATGTCCATGGAATGCCCTGTCTGCTGTCCGATTGGTGCTAACATGCTGCAGATGCTACCCCTCCGACCGACCAAATCTTTCTTGTCTTACTCGGTCGAAAAGCTGGAGAAGTCTTCCCAGCCCTTCCAGGCATCATACAGGCTCTGGAATAACGAAGCCTTCCAGGCCATCTTGCCTGATCTTCTGCAATTCCTCAGGTACGTATATCTCGAGCCAGTCCACAGCGTCGACACACAACTGACCTTGCAGCCATGCCCATGCTTCGCACAACCCCGACAACTGGCCCGAATTTCCCAATGAGATGGGCACCGTCGTCAAGCGGGTGCTCAGCGATCGCTTTTGGCAGGCAGGCATCTCGGAAGGCAGCAAAGACGAGTTCTACGCTCGCGTAACGGATAGGAAAGGGACGCTGGAAGGTCTTGCATCGACCATCAGAGGCTCGGTGCGGTTCGTGCGAGAGACATGCTATGCGATTATTTACTGCATGAGCCGGCTCGAGACGTACTTTTACGGCTTTGGCGAACTGCCAAGCCCCCTCGCCGAAGCGTTGTTCCAGAACGCAGTCCACCTGTCTGCCCATCAACAGATCAATCTGCTCAACCTGACGAGATACCTGGTGGACGATTGTCCACTGGAACAGCGCGAGCACTTCCTGCCGCCGCTCCTGGCGAATTGCTTCCGACAGATGGACGCGAAGATCAGTTCCGAATGGAAGAGGCTCGAGGACCAGCAGAAGATTGACGTCGGAAGCGACGACCTGACCGAGGAGATGAAGTCGGAGAGCATCCTGCGGCAGGTCACTCACACGGCAGTCATCATGGTCGCCGATTTCCTTGACCCAACGAAGCGAAGTAAGTATTGCCGTGTGTACACTGACCTTGGGTCTTTCGTGCTGACACTCGTGCAGACCCCGCGCCGCTGCGGCCACAGGATCCTCCCAAACGATACCCGACGCTGAGAAAGTTCTGTCTCATGCACTCCAGCATCGTCGAGCCTCTTCTTCTGTTCAGCACGCACGCTATCCGAATGAGAGATGGGAGGTGCTGCAACATTATTCTGCGTGTCTTCCGATCGATCGTGCCCGACTTCCAGTCGTCCGATGTCACAGCTGCAGGCGGCGATGGCCACACACAACAGGACGGCGGCGCGGATCCCTGGCTCGACACGACGGCCATCGACCATGAGAGGGCCACGCAGATTCGCGAATACATCTCAACACAGGTGCTCGAGGCCTGCGTGACATCCTTCCACGAGCCGTACTTTGTTGACTTGCAGAAGGATCTCGCGTCGCTCATCGCGGCGATCGTGGTCCACTACATGACGCTGACGGATTCGCCGAAGAACTTCCTCCTCAGCATCCCAGGCGTCAAGTTCAAAGACTTTGAGAAGCTCGGGGAGTTTGCGCAGAAGCCCAGCTCCGGGTCGCGCCAACAGCGGGCGCTCGTGCTGCATCTTTTGAAGGACGTCAAGGGCGTGAGCATGGCCGAGATGCACAAACTGCCCAAGAGCGGGCTGCCGGCTGTGCAGAAGAAGCCGGCGCGCAGCAAGATGGCGCAGGAGTTTATGACGCCCGCGGACGAGGCGGGGTCCAAGGGCCAGCCATCGACGGGCGTCGCCGACGATAGCCTCATTGGGCTCGCCAACTTGTTCGACGCGTAAGGGCTCACTCATGAGAAGGGGGGGCGGTTGCACACTCGCGCGCGGGGGAGGGCAGCAGGAGGCAACAGGATCAGCACGGGACAGGAAAGGGCAAGGACGGTGGCGGCGGCGGCATGGAGTTTACGGCGTTGGACAAGACCAAGAATGGGCGGGGGAAGGATATCACAAGAACAGCCAGGGCAGGAAAGGCAGAAAAGCGAAAGGGTCGACCGGCCATTAAGCAACACCCAGCTCTGTGCCGCGGCATTGATTTGTCCTGGCGCAGGGGTGGGGTGGGGTGGGGTGGGAGAGATGGATGGACGGCGACGTTCAGTAGAGAAACGCAACGATAAAATCATAATCATTCTGGCCCATGCCTCGGCTTCTACTTGTGAACCATGTCCAGTGTTCGGCCCTCCCACAGGACGCTCCCCATATTGTATCGCGGTTCATCCCTTTGCGAGAACGACCTCATGTACAAAGGTACGTTCTGGACGCTCCAGATATAATGGCAGAATTCCGTTTCCGGACCAGGTATATGCTATCGCTTTATCGCACTATATTAGATAAAAACCATTCAAGTAGGCGGTCGAGCCGGCGCCGTTGCTCCAAAGTGCCTGAGATCGTTCTCTCGGTCCTAGAGGGATGGAGGTTGATGTTCCCCCGGCAGCCGCCAGCAACTGGAAACGGGTGTACAGTACATGCGCCTCCCGCCTCCCGCCTCCAGGACAGCAGGTGGCGTCCCCTCATCCGCAAGCATTTCCGCATCGAGGATGGCCCTATCCAGGGATCTGGGAAGGGCAAAGTGCGGCTCGGCACCTGCAGGCTCGCAGCCCAGTCAGCCAGTCTGAGAATGCGAGGTGATGGGATGGTGGATCTGGAGGGGATCACCACCACCACCACCACAACCACCACCTCGGCGGCCGGCCGATGGAGGGCGGATAGTCTGGAGGGGGCGAGACCGAGGTCCGGGTGATCTGCGGCTTGGGGCGGGGTATTGCCTGTTCATGGCTTTGCCTCTTAATACACTATTCATTTGTTTGTGTTTGGCTACGAAATCACGGGAACCGGGGGAGGGGGGGCTATCGATGGCAGATAGAGAGATGGTCGTTTCCAGCGGGGGGAGGAAATGGGGGGCCGGGTCGGGAGGGCAGATCTCAAGAGGGGCCGAAAGCTGGCTGGTCGGCTTGCTTGCTTGCTTGTCTGCTGGCTGGTTGGTGGCGAGTGGTGGGGTGGGAAAAGCGTGTGTTCCTGAATCGCCGCGTCAGGGCGCAGGCTGACATGGAGTGTACCGTAGATGAACCATGGACAGTGCATTTCGATGCGACACGACCGAGGGCCGCTTAGTGGTGTGCTGCTCGTCCGACGTGGGAGACGTGTAGGCGACCGAGAAAACGAAAAAGCAAAATTATTTCACCCTCGCTTGTCGACCTCGTGTTCGTGGCTGTCCGATCGATGGCGGCCACGAGGGAGGGAGCATTTGTCACGAACGGGAGGAGGCGCATTGAGGGCGGGAAGTTGAAGGGCGATCGATCCTATAGGCCGTGGGTATAGGCCGTGTGTATAGGCCGCGGGGGTTATGGAAGTGCCAAAAAAGAAAGGGCAAGACACTGGGGTAACACAGCCGTGTCTCTCTTTTCGTCGCTGCTCTCGGTGTCTCGGTTTTGGGTAGTGGATGTGAAACATGGGCTTCGTGAAGAATCGCCGTCCGGATGATGGGATGGTTTCAGACAGGCGTCTTCGTTGATGCTGTCGCTGCTGCTCTACTGCTGCACTGCTGATGCCGCTGCTGCTGCTTCTGTTCGTAAACCAAGCTGGTCTTAAGGGTCTTAAGCACTGCGGAACAGAGGGCCTCCACCAGGCGAGCACGAGGCGAAGCCCTCAGGTGACACGACGCTAAAGGGGAAGGCGAGGGACGGCGAGACAACGGCGGCGTCTGTCACGGAGAAGAGTCAGAGGGTAGTGTCTGTCTGTCACCAGAAGCCGGGGTCATGGCGATCTATCCTATCTGGCCTGTCCTAGTCATGATCAGGCTGTCAGAAGCATGATTAGGGGTGTGCAAAGGGCAGATTTGACAGAAGCATGATGCGTCGGGATCATCGGGGCAGGCAACGAATATGGGCAGTCCAGGCAAGTGAAGCATCAAGGCGGCGGACATGATGGAAACTTCCGTACCTACCTTACCTACCTAGATGTACATGTAGTACCCATGAACGCTAGCCAGGTTAAGACAGCGACCCTCGGCCCTGTCAAAGCGCACTGCAGCATTCGTCGAGGCGGGCCTAACGTCAATCTTCGCCTTGACGTACCCATGGATCCATCGCCGCCGCCTTCTTCCATCCATCATCTCTGCCTTGTCTCAGGTCAGTCCAGAGCTACGTCCTTATTTCGGGAAGGCTTCAACATCCTCTAGGCCGCAATTCGTTGGGGTTTCTGCACCGGCAGTCCCTCCTGACGGGACGCGCGAACGCAACTTCTGTTCCCTGGCCGCACTTCCTCTGGCGCACTTCCTCTGGCGCACTTCCTCTGGCGCACTTCCTCTGGCGCACTTCCTTTGGTGACAACTTGCCTGGCTTGCCAACCCAGCGAATCCTTCTGCACGGATTCTCCTCGTCCATCACCTTTCTTCTTCTCCTCCTTGGCGTCACAAAAGCCTTGGCCAGCAACCTCCACGCAAGGCCGTCCGATCTGCTCCAATCCGAACCACGAGATCCTGCGACAGCGTATACCTCAAACAGACCGCAGCTCGATCTCAGCATCCTGTCCCACACTCGCTGCCAACCATCTACGCTGCCACACCCTCCGCGACCTCCTGTCCTACGAAACATCCCATTGTCCCTCCGTCCTGATCTAGAGTCACACGATACGACTGTACTGGTTGCATCGTACTGTATCCGAACATCGACTGCCGAAACTACCTGCTGTTGAGCCAAGATCCGCCCAAAGTCACGGTAGCATCAGGTCGGGTCACACAGCATCCACAGAAGAGGTTAAGGTAGTATCGTAAACAACCTTCAATCGGGCACTTGACCCCAAGTCGACCAAGCCCGATCAGATCTCCCACAACCCCGGCCGAGGCAACGCTTGGCATCTCGACACCTCCACCCCTGTTTCGTCCCGTCCTGACCTGACCCTGGCCTGGCGTGAGCCTGGGCCTGCCCTTTCTCGTTTCAACCCCCTCGCACCCACGCCCCCGTCCTCATCTTTCATCCTCATCCGTATTCTCACCCGTCATTGTCTTTCCACTATCAACTCAAGGCAACTCCGTCACGCTATCAACCTGACACCATATCCAAACCATCGCGGGCTATTCTCATTGACATATTTGCTGCCCAGCTGTACGACAAACCACTAGTTCACTAAGAAAGGCCGGGAACCACTTGCCATCTTCGACTCTTTCACGACAGCCGTCACCAGCCGCGCTCGTCACCTACGACTCTTTTCACAGCCGCCATGGTGTACTGTGGCAAGCCTTCGAGGGGCTGCCAGATGTGCAGGACGAGGAGAATCAAGGTAAAGCGTCACGAACCGCCATGGCGACATAGGCCCCCCATATCTAACCATTTCCAGTGCGACGAGACAAAGCCCACATGCAACCAGTGCACCAAGTCGCGCCGCCAATGTCCTGGCTACAAGGACGAATTCGATCTCGTCTTTCGCAACGAGACCAAGGCAACCGAGAGGAGGGCACAGAAGGCCAACCGCAAGGCCCTCGGCAAGGGCAAAGATGTCGAACCCCTGGCGCAACCCCAGGTCCAGCTCACCAAGAGCGCGTCTTCTTCACCTGCCAGCCAAGACGGCTTCTCTATCGTCATACCCATGCTCGACGTGCCCGTCGAGCAAATGGCATCGTGCCACTTTGTGTCTAATTATGTCTTGATCCCGCGCCAGGGCAGCACCAGAGGCTTCCACGAGTACCTGCTGCCGCTTCTCAAGTCGGAAATGCCCAGCAGCCACCTGCACCACGCGTTCAACGCCTGCGCATTGGCGTCACTAGGGAACAGGCCGAACGCTTCTGCGACGAAACTCAACGCCAAGGCCCTCGGCCACTACACAAAGGCACTGGCTGCGACGCACGTCGCTCTCCAGCACCCGGAGCAGGGCAAGTCGGACGCCACGCTCGCCTCCGTCCTCATGCTCGGGCTGTTCGAAAACATCACGGCCAGGCAGATGGGCATGTTCGCTTGGGGTTCACATATCGAAGGCGCCATTCAGCTCGTCAAAGCCCGCGGACGCAAGCAACTACGCACCAAGACGGGCTTCCTCCTGTTCGTTGCTGTTCGTACGCAGATGATTATCCACACACTCACTACGTGCACCGCACCCATCATGGGCGTCGAGTGGTGGTTGAGTGATGCTGTCAAGGATGAGGCCGCTGCCATATCACAACGCTTCGCCATCAAGACGGCCGAACTGAGAGCCGAAGCCACGCGCCTCATGTCCACCATGGCTCGCTGCCCTGAGAACATCGACATCATGTTGGACATGATTCGGCGTGCCCAAACGGTCGATCAAGAGGCCATGAACTGGCTGCAAAACCTACCGGAGCACTTTAGGTTCAAGACGGTGGCTTGGGAGGACCACGTCCCTAATGGTGACTATGAGAAGGCTGAAGTGTTCCCTGGGCGTGTTGATATCTATCAAGATTTTTGGATCGCCAGTGTACTGAACATGGCCCGCGTCTGCCGCCTCATTCTGGCGTCGGTCATCGTTCGTTGCGCGGCCTGGGTTTGCAGCCCAGTTGACTACCGCACGACACCAGAATATGCTTCGGCCGCGCGGACGTGTGTCGACACCATCACCGACATTGTTGCATCGGTGCCTTATCAGCTCGGCTGGCACTTGAAGCGCCCTGAAGTGATGGAGCGCGCGAACCTCTCCGGTTTTGCCTGCGGTGTGGAGGACGCCCTGAAGGGCCTGCCCGGCTACTTCCTGACGTGGCCTCTTGCCATCCTGCACGGCCAGGACTACACGACCGATGCGCAGCGGTCCTGGATCGTAGGTCGACTCAAGTTCATCGGCGACGAGCTCGGCGTGAAATATGCCCACTTGCTCTCTCAGGTACGCTAGAGGCATGTTGATTGGCATGGCATGAGGAAAGCTAACAAAGGATCAGATTCAAATCCGCATCCCATCCATGCTCATCCGCCGCGATGGTCTCATGGCCAATCCATACCCCAACTCGCACAACTTTGAAAAGATGCTCTCGGCTCGCCTGCTGTCGGCCCGCGAAGCACCGCCCTCGGCAGGCTACGAGATGAATCCCCTCCAGCAGCGCGAGGCCATGCAGCGCGAACAGGCCGAGAAGAAGAAGGCCGAACTGTTGGCCAAGGCCACCGGCACAGCGGGGCAGTCGGGGCAGTGGGTGGCGCAAAATTGGCTGAGGGTATAGTCCCGGATTTCCTTCTTGACGTCTCCCTTCCCTCTGTGTACATCACTGCCGCGCACGTGGGCTGCTTGTGTTGACCCGTTTATCAGATGCCACCCCCAAGTGTTGGATGACCGAGGATGCGTGTTGTGTTTCAGTTGAGCGACTTGGGCCAGCGTCATTCCCATGGACGCGTTTTGGCATCAGAATGGATGGTTGGGCATGAGGTTGATGGGAATATGGTATCGGCCATGATGTGATGACATGTGACGGTCGAACTGGGGATTTGTATTTGGACGACGAAAGATCTACACGATCACGGCATGTGGGTTGCACAGGCAAAAATGAGCATCAGCCTCCTTTTTTTTCGTCGTACATGGGAGAGATGCAGTATTTCAGACCAGCTAGTTGGCCGACCTTTTGGTCGCTCAAGTCCCACGCAAGATGGGCGCCACGGGAAACGAAAGCCGTCCTGGCTTGTTCTATGTACAGAGGGGGTAGCAAGCTGTTTGCGCGCGGGGCTACCAGTAGACGCCGGGTTCCGATTCGTGATTCAAGCAAGTCATGGCGTCGTGGGGCCTCATCGGCCTGTAGGGGGTGTCGTCCTGTGCCGTTCTGTGACGGGCTTTGCGGTATCATGCAACGCCTCGTGACAAGGCACCTATGTGCCAAGGTAGGGAGAGAGAGAGGCAGGGTGCATCCGGGGGCTCACTTCTTCTTGCCCGACTTGTCCTCGATCTTGCCGCCGCCGAGGTTCCACGCCTTGACGACCCAGCTCTGGGTCTGGTCGACGTACTTTTCGTTGGCGACGTGCTTGACGCCGACGCGGACGCCGTCCTTGGTGAAGACGACGTTCTTCTTGCCCATGCGCTCCGAGGCGGCGCCCTGGATCTTGACGACCGAGAGGTAGACCTGCCAGCAGACCCAGGCGATGGCGCCGAGGACGAGGAGGGTGATGACGAGGGGGATGAGCTGTCTGTGGTCTGTCAGCTCTTCTTCTTCTTTTTGCCTGTGGGTCTCTGGTTTTGCGTTCTCGCAGCACCGCAGCTGGGGGGCTCACCCTAGTCGAGACATGCTGACGATGTCGGCGGTGGAATCCGTTTTCGTGGCTCGTGGTTCGTGGCTCGTGTCTGGCGTTGGAATGTCGAGGAGAGAGGATCGCGAATGGCAGACGGGGTCGGGGGGCCAAGAAGTCGCAGAGGCAGGGCGGGGCTTGAGAAAGACTACAAGAAACCCGTCGCAGGAGCTTCGAGGGGTCGTCGAGAGAGGCAGTCTCGCGTGGACAAATCAAGGACGGAAGAAATTGTTGCCCGAGGGTGGTGTCCCTTTCAAAATGGAAGGAAGAAAGAAAGAAAGAAAGAAAGAAAGAAAAATACACGAGCAGAAGAAGACGGAAGGAGAAAAGTCGAGTCAAGAGCTGAGATGTCGAGGGTCCAGAAG